AAATCATGCATGGTTCAGTTAATGGCCAATTAATCTGCTAGAGGTTATCTAGGTGCACAGAACACAAGCCAGAGGGAAGGAGGAAGATAAGAACTTGCCTGTACAGTTTTGTAAACAAAACCTTGTTGCCGTTGTTCTAAGCTTTCCGACGACCACTGCAATATCGTCTAGCCTCCTATGACTTCTGTTCCTCCCTTCTCCTAAGCCAAATCTTGAAGCCTCGGTTGGAAACCTCACAAACTTACTCTGCTCTCTCAAAGCCTCACTCTGTAACTCTCTGTATCTATGTTACGTGAGTAGGGTTTTTTTCCAACCCTTAATACAGATTACAACTATGAATATATAGGCGCAAAAATCCTAAACCCTAATCCTTGTTTAATTAAAGCCAAAGCCCTAATGTAAAACTCTAGTCAGTCGGCCCATATAGCAATCTAGGTTATAAGATACTCGGTTACATATGCGTAACCTCTTAGGGAACCCTACTATTTAAAATTAGACCAATTATTAATTTATTTTAATACAGTAACTGTTACTAATTTAATCCATAATTTAATCTAATTAAAACATTTAAATAAACTAATTTACACATTAGAATGACCAAACTAATCTAATTACAGAAAATATACATATAACTAAATACACAACCCAATTAAAGAAAACAAGAAACAATTAACGAAATTAAAATTCATAATTAAAAAATTAAAACACTTAAACAATTAATTCCAATTAAATAATAAAAGATAACACATGTCACATAGTTAAGCAATTAAATCAAATAATAAATAAAAATAATTAAGCCAAATAATCACCCAAAAATACAATAAAAATAAATAAATAAATGCCGAGACTATCCTTTTAAAATTAGGGGTATTACAGCAAGGTACAAAGTACGTTTGGTGGCAAAGGGTTATAGTCAGAGAGAAGGTGTGGATTTCAATGAAGTTTTGTCACCAGTTGTGAAACACACCTCTATCCGCGTATTGCTTGCCATGGTTGCTCAATTTGACTTAGAGCTTGAGCAACTTAATGTCAAAACAGCTTTTCTACATGGTGAGCTTGAAGAAGAAATTTATATGCATCAGCCAGAGGGGTTCATTGTTCAGGGAAAGGAAGACCACGTTTGTTTGTTGAAGAAATCATTGTATGGGTTGAAACAATCTCCAAGGTAGTGGTACAAGAGGTTCGACACTTTTATGGTTGGTCATGGCTACTTGAGAAGTAGTTATGATAGTTGTGTCTACTACCGAAAGCTCTTAGATGGTTCTTTTGTATACTTATTGTTATATGTTGATGACATGCTTATTGCTGCAAAAGACATGTCAAAAATTAATAAGTTAAAATCTTATTTGAATACTGAATTTGAAATAAAAGATCTCGGTGCAGCGAAGAAGATTTTGGGCATAGAAATTCAGAGGGATCGTCAAGCTGGCAGATTGAGTTTGTCACAGAAGAGTTATATTGAGAAAGTGCTTGAGCGGTTCAACATGCAGAATTCTAAGCCTGTGAGCACACCACTTGCTACTCATTTTCGTCTTTCTACAGCTTTATCACCACAGTCCAAAGAGGAGAAGGAGCACATGTCATGTGTTCCTTATGCTAGTGCAGTTGGTAGCTTGATTATGCTAATGCAGTTGGTAGCTTGATGTATGCAATGGTTTGCACTCGCCCTGATATTTCACATGCAGTCAGTGTAATTAGCAGATATATGGATAATCCGGAAAAAGAGCATTGGCTAGTTGTGAAGTGGATTCTTCGGTATTTGAAAGGTATTATAGATATTGGCTTTATCAGAAGAGAAGTGATGATTTTGGAAATGTTGTTGGTTTTGTGGACTCCGACTACGCTGGTGATCTAGACAGAAGAAAATCTCTGACAGGATATGTCTTTACTCTCTCAGGTTGTGCAGTTAGTTGGAAAGCAACTTTGCAATCTACAGCTGCTCTCTCTACGACAGAAGCAGAATATATGGCGGCCACTAAAGCAGTGAAGGAAGCTATTTGGTTAAGAGGTTTTGTTAGTGTTTTGGGTTTGCAGCAGAGCTCAACTGTTACTTATTGTGACCGTCAAAGTGCGATATATTCGACAAAAAATCAAATGTATCACGAGAGAACCAAACACATTGATGTCAGATATCATTTTATTCGGGATGTCATATTAGAATGAATTACTACTTTGAAGAAAATTGGCATAACTGAAAATCCAGCGGATATGATGACAAAATCCATTCCGACTCTCAAGGTCAAGTATTGCTTGGACTTGGTTGGTATTCTCAAATGTTGAAATTCCCTTAGGGGCTTAGTGGAGAAGACAGTTTATTTTGCAGAGATACAGTGACTCATTTGAATTTTCTCCAAGGTGGAAATTTGTTGAAATTTGTGGCTCAATTTCTGTCAACTCACCATGTAATTTGCTCACCCATTTCATCATCAACGCTCATCGACCATGACATCATCTTCTTAGCCTCCAAGTATACGTGTTCAACAAGCAATTTTTCTTGGTCTCCAAGTCCAGCCTGTAATGTCTGTGTCAATATATATATATATATATATGTGCATATGTGTATATATTTGTGTGTGTGGTGTAATTTAAAACAAAAAGAAAAAGGAAATTGGGTGGGACCCACATGCACTTAAAATGGTCATAAGACCACTTTTTGTTCTAATTTTTTTTATTTTTCCCGTAAGCTTCTCTTTCATTCCAGAAGCTCTCTGTTTTTTTTTTTCTTTTTTTGGTTTCAAGCTTTCACTCTTGATTTCTCCCTCATCTCTTATCGGATTAGGTTGTCGTTTGAGGCAAAACGACGAGCACGACGAGCTCTACGTGCTAGTACCAGAAATTCCAGCTTTTGGTCCTCTTTGGGAGCTCGAATTTAAGAACCCATTTCTAGGGATTTTGCTTATTTTGAGGTAGGGACACCTTAATCCACTACTTTCTTGTTCCATTGTGAGTTATAATCATTTGTTGTGCCAAGCATGCTTAATTAGAAGTTAATTGTATCAATGATTATTTTAAATGTTGTCTAGAGAAATTCATGTATTTGAATGTGAGTTGTTTTATATGTAAAGCATGCTTAAATGTATTTTGTTATATCTTAATGTGTTAATAATTACTTGGGAGATGTTGAACATGTTGAATGTTTAATTTTATGGTGTAGAATTTTAAATGCCATGACATTGAATGTATGGAACATATATACATGCACATACCATTGGGTTTGCATGAAATGGAAGAAATTGTTCTTGAAATAAATATGGGGAATTTCAGGGAAGTGTTTTTGATGAAATGGTTTTATGTGAAACCCAGTCGCTGCGAGGTTACCAACGGACCGGAGGTTAATATAGCCTACAGGGGACTAGGGAGTCGCCCTAGTGTGGTTGAGCTAGCTGGGCCCCATAATGACGCCGCGGGGTTACCAAGGGTCAGGGACACTAGCCAATCCTCCTCTCGTGTCGCGGCGGGGCTACCAAAGGGCGGGCTGTATTAACAGTTTGGAAACGATGTTTTAAATTATGAAAATGGGGAGCGACACTAGCGTGCATTGCATCTCATACCATTGCATTGGATATACTTGAGATTGAATCATTATGCTGTATTATTTCCTGACATTGTATGATCCCCATTTCCCATTGACCTATGCTTTGTTTGGATTCACAAGGACACAAGATGTGTGTCTTAAGTGTCACCTGCTGAGCTTTATGCTCACCCTACTATTTATATTATTTTTTTCAGGTCTTGAAAATGAACTGGTGGACGACAATCCACCTCAAGCTTGAAAGTTGTTAGAAGGTTGTTTGCTATTTTGTATTTTGACCGTTCTATGTATATTCGTAGTTGTGAAAATGTAACTAAGTTAGTATTCATGGCCTTGTAACTTAAGAACGAACTTATCTTTTGTTTGATGTAAATGAAACTAATGGAATTATGGTATATGTTTCCATGCAATTGTATCATGTAACGTTGTAAGACATGGACTTTAAATCTTAACCATGTATTTTGGGACTGTAATTATCTTAATTTAGTTTAATTGGTGTGTGGATATTCCACCATGAGAGGAACTATGTTGAAGTATAATGAACGGATGAATGAGATGCTGGATGATTTTATGTGTTTTGTGTATTGGGACAGGTTGTTGAAGGCCCATTTTTAGGGGAGGTTCTGCTGAATTTTTTTTTAAATTTTGGCACAAGCTAGGGTCGTTACACAGCCTATGCATGCGTGGTCACCAAGTCCAAGAACAGTGATGACATTTTGGCTATAAATAGCCTTAATCTCTATGGTTCAATCATCCAACAATTGAGAGCTCAAATATATAAAGTGAAAGTGTGAGAGAGTTTTGGGTGTAATTGGATTTTAGGTGTGAGCTATTTAAGCATTGTATCTCTTTATTTCCATAGTAAAATATTGTTCTATCTTCTTCTTGTGGATGTAGGCATAGCCGAACTACGTAAATCCTTGTCTCGTTTGTGTGTGTGTTATTTCCTTTTTTCTTGTCATTTTATTTTTCTCTTGTTCTCATAAACTCCTAGTTTGATCCTTACTGCGTAACAGGATGTAGAATTTTTGAGAGTGACAAGTGATTTAGATCCACAATCAGCAACCGCAAGGTAGAGATCGAATTTACATAATTGAAGGTAGAAAATTCAGTGAATGAGAGATGGCTCCAATACTTCACAAATCAAAATGATTTTAAACATTGAGAAGCCTACTTTATAAAAATAAAAATTATATTGATAGAAAGCATGAGGCCCCAACTCAAGTTTGATACAGAAAACAGAGTATGTAAGTTCAATAAGAGGTGCATACATCATATTGATAAAAATAATTACTTCTTCCATGTACAAGACAACTTCATAAAAAGTAGAATCAGCAATACATAGTACAGATGACTAAAGTTGTTATCAATATAAGAGTAACATGGCATCAAAATCTCATATAAATGCTACAGGTTTTGAATATTGAGCATATATGGCATATATATGAAAATCAGGTTAAACTCGACTTCACATAAGCTTATGCATAATCCATACTGCGGGAGGCATGTACTGGTGGGAAGCATCCAGGATGTAATGTCTTTCAATGCTTCCACCCTTAAAGTTGAAGACTCCCATATCACGAGCTTCGTATGGAAGATGGTGAAACCTGTCACAATAATCATCTGTGTAGTATATGGAATCAGGTTGGCAATTTGGAATATCTGAAGCCACAATGCGAATGGTGTGGTTATCCCCCAAGAATAATGCATCATCACCCAAGCCATCAATTCGAACCCACTCCGTCTCCCCCTCCTCCCCACTTGGATGCATCATAAGCTTGTAAACCTTGAACCCCACCGTCACGTCCAAGTGCACCGACCCTTTTCTCTTCCAGTGATGCCTCTGAACCATCAGTAAATCTCCATTTGATGACTCCACCAGATATGGCTTATGACAGAAATTTAGACACCGTGGCACAACAATTTCATAACGCGAATCACTGCTGCTACTACTACTAATAATATTATTATCAGTGTTGATCTTCAAGAGTGAGTTGTAACCATCCAAAGCATAGAGCTGACCTTTATAAAAATAAATGTCTTTAATAGGTTTTTTCTCCCCGACATAAGTCCAGGACTGATCACCTGATCTTATGAATGCCACCCTAGGTATATCACTATAAATTGTGACAACTACGTAATTGTTGGGATTTTGAGACGGATCATCTGATAATATAACCTTACGGATGTGAAAGTCAGGCACAAATATAGCCTCTCCATCTCTATATCCACTGTAGACTTCGGTAACAGGTGGAAGAGATATGGTCTTACCTGAGAAAGGGTTTATTAGTGTGATGGACAAATCTTGTTCGGCTCGGACCAACCAACCATGTGAAGAGCCACAACACCTCTGAGTATAAGGAAGAGGCAATCGACAATCATACATAGTGTGATAAAAAACATTGTAGAGTTTGCAGTATTGTTGGTCGCCACTTTTGGTGGGAACCAATAGCATTGGCCATTGGTTGAGGTTCTTCTTATGATCTAGAAGAAGAGCACGCCATTGTTTGCATACGGCACCAATTCGGATTAAATCAACCAGAAACAACTTGTTAAGAATCAAACACCAAAGGTCTTTTGGAAGCCATATCCAGTAGTCTTCTGATGGTGATAACTCTGGATTTAAAGAAGCCATAATTAAGCACAATCGTTTAACACGGATTAGTAATTAAGTCTGAGGAGGTATTATAAGGAAAGGTTATAAGGAGTACTATCCTTATTCACTTCGGACAATGAAAAACTTCAGAAATCCTAGTAGATTTTGGATAGTTGTTTTACAACGATAGGAGAGAGACTTGTTACGAAATTATGCAGCCTTAGCTAGTTTTTACGACGTTATTCCACAATACAAAACAACTTTTTTAATTCAATATTTTATTTCTTCATATGTTTTTGTTTTAATATAAAACATGTGTAACTTGGGCAACACAGCCTTTTTTCAGGTGCTTGTGTAGTAATTTTTACGGCCCAACCTAAAGATACAATCATATATACCAAATCAAGCATAATCTAATCCTCCATTAGATATATACATACTAAATAGTTTACACAATTATTAATGTAAGAAAAAGATAGTGCATGGTTTTTACTTGTTTCCTTAATAGCAGAATTACTATTTTTAAATTTTTATTGAGTAATTGTAATTTTGGAGTTGTATACCCTTTGTTAGACATCAGCTTAAACTCAACTCAATTAATTAAAATTCAATTTTTCAACTTAAAATTTTGTAAGAGAGTTAGACTTGGGATTAAATTTCATTTGAATGGATTTCAGACTTAAGTCTTTTTTTTTTTTTTTTTTTTTTTTTTTTTTAACATACAGGAATAAGTACAGAAAACATTCCTAAAATATATTCCGGGTAACATTTTTATCCCTTATTTAAAAAGTGGCAAAAAATACCCTTAATGTTTTCACATTGTGCAAAAATACCGCTCAATAAAAAATCTGACATAAATTAGTATTCTAATACCTGTTTTACCCTTTTACTCTTTCGAAAATGCCCAAAGTGATATATGTGTTACTAATATTGTAATATAAGGGTGTTATGTGCATATTATCTTATATATATATATATATTATTTTTTGAAAATTTGTAAAACAATAATTTGAATTTTTTGAAATTTTAGTTTACCGTTTTCTACTAAATTATTTTTTTCTTTATTTTATTTTTTTGTACCAACATTGATTCAAAAAAAAAAAAATCACAATATTTATATATTAGTGTGCACTAATTTTCAAAATTTGGAACAAATTTATTTTCTTTAATTTACACTTTATTTTTATTTTTTATTTTTTAATTTTATCATGAATTAATGCAATTCACGAACTCAGTTTTGAAACACACGGATTCAAACGAAGCCCCCATTGCCACGTGCTTATATTACTACTCATGCCTTGCGTCTTATTAGCGAACCTCTTTACCAAGCCTTGAAACTTGGTAGCCATACTAATCATATGGTTTACACGTGGCATTAATGAACCATTAAATTCTTTCTTCAGTGATCTAGATTCTATAATTTTCTTATCGTTGTCAGGATAAACAAATGTTAGTCAGGATAAATATGTATTATGTAACCATCATTGAACATTGGTACACTATTTTGGCTTTTTATGGCTTCTCATTTAACATAAATGGCAATTAAGCATTTCTTCCAATAATTTATACTTATCCTAGATTAAAAGGACCATTAAAAACAATAAATGAGTATTCCAATTGCTATCAAAAAAGCCACATCCTAGGCAATAAAATACTTATGATCCAGAAAACTGATTGAATGTTGTTTGATACAAAACAAGCAGCATTCAGTGTGATAATAAGATTGAAGTGATGAATAAATCTTTACTTGTATTCACTGAAACATGGGCATTATCCAAACTGCGGGAGTATAGCACTTGTGGGAATATTTCAGGGTGAAATGTTTAACTACCCTTAGCTCTTGTAAATTGAAGACCCCCATGTCACGGGGTTCATACAATGAAATATGAGATCTCTCCATACAATCATCAGTGTAACATATGGAATTTGGTTGGCAATTGGGAAAATCAGAAGCCAATACGCAAATGCTTCGTCACCCAAGAACACTGCATCATCACCCATACTATCAATTTCTACCCACTTTCCCTGCTTCTGTCCTTCAGTTGAATGCTTCGTCAGCCTGTAAACCTCGAAATACACCGTCTTGCCGAAGTTTGTGATATTTCCATCAAAAAAATGAATCCTTTGAATTAGCAGTAAGTCTCCATTGGATGCCTCCACAAGATATGACTTATGTGACGAGAATTCCAAAGAAGGTGACACTATAATTTCATAATTGGGTACATCATAGGAGTCACTATCAGAATCTGAATCTGAATCATTAATGTCGACCTTTACGAGTTCGTTGAAACCACCCAAAAGGTATAGCTGGCCTTTGTAAAAATAAGCATCATTCATAGCCTTAGGGCACAAGTTCCTAACTAGGTAAGTCCAAAATTGATCACCTGATTTTATGAAAACCAGTCTAGGTCTGTCACTATAAATAGCGGCAACAACAAAATTATTGGGATTTAGAGATGGGTCTTTTGAAAAAATAATCCTCTGGATGTGAAACTCAGGCACAAATAAATATCCACCACCGAATTCCAATTCTTCATCTTCATCTAGGATTTCATCTTCATCTTCATCTTCATCTGAGACCTCCTCCGTAATTGGAGGGAGACAAATGGTCTTACCGGAGAAGGGATTTATGAGTGTAATGGCCATATCATCTTCGGCCTTCACCAACCACCCGAAGGAAGAACCAGGACACTTCTTAGTAAATGGCACAGCCAATTGACAGTTGTAAGTCTTTTCCTCGGAGACACTGTATAGTCTACCGCTGCCATGTCCGTTTGGGACTAGTAGCATGGGAGGCTGCTTGAAACGTGCTTCATTGCGTTTCTGCTTCTTATCTAGAGCCACGGATCGCCATGGTTTGCACACTGCCCCAAACCGGACAAAGTCGGATAATAGAATTAACTTGTCCACAATCAAACCAACCAGATCTTTTGGAAGCCATGCCCAGTCTGTCTCTGATGATGAGAACGATGCCATATCTAAATATCAAATAACCTGCAATAAGGATTTCTGATCTGATGGCGGCTCAAAGATTTTCTACCTGTTTACTGTAACTATGAAAGTCGAAGAGAGAAATCTGATTTTATTTATCAATGGACAATTCTGCTCCCTCTCTCCATATTTATAATCAACAAAACCTAACCACACAAGGAAACTTGTACGTAACAGAATCTAAGAAAACTCAAGGAAACAAAGGACTTGTTTGGTATGAAAAAAACAAATAAAACGAACTTTTAAGGTCAGAAGACGCAAGATATAATTTTGGGATTCTTTCACGCTAGTGTATAATCAATTGTTAATTTTTAGGAGTTTGTTGGCAAATGTTTTAGAGATAATTACACTGACCTCTCCTTTCGTCAAGCTACACCGACCCTCCCTCTTATTTGTCAAATAACAATAACCTCCCCTATCAAAACATTTGAATGGATGGCGTTAACTATTATACTGGAATTACATTTTTGTCCTTATTATATCTATACTGTATTTTATTTCAAACTCAATGGAATTTGAAAAGACAAAAAGGCCCCAAACCTATCCTTCGGCCTCAACACAAGCCACTGCTTGTAACAAAAAACACAAGCAATCACTGTCGAAATCAATGGAGCTAACAGTTGGTTCGTCTTGCTTGGAACTCGCCGATATGAACTTGAGGTTGTTCATAATACCCTAGAGGTCTATAGGCTTGAGGTTGTGCATTAACGAATGCGATTCTTTGCCCATTTACTCCCCACTGCCTATAATGGACTTTGAACAAACCTATCGATTTTACACCAACCCATAAAATGTGAAGGCATGAAGTGACTTCTGGTCTCTAGTACACCAAGCTATAGATTTTACCAACAAATCAGAAGACACCCTTAATATCCTATAATTAATTGATTGCATGTTCTTCCTGAAAGTATAATTATACGTTGAAGATAACAAGGGCAAACTAATAATTTGAATGTGATATTGAATACCACCATATTTATAATTTTCATCAATAATCAGAGGTTCGACTAAAGTGGCGGTATTGCATTAAATCATGTCATCTATGAGCCTATAGACCATATGAATTTCGCCGGACCAACTGTCCCTAACCCATGGCAACTCCATGGCGTCATTTGGGGCTCAGGTAACTCAACCACACTAGGGCGATCTCTCTAATCCCTTCTAGGCCTCATTAACGCCGCGGTCCCTAGGCAACTCCTAGGCGGCCGGGTTTTTCACAAAATTCTTTTCAAAATTCTTCATGCCAATATATATATATATTTCAAATTCAAGTTCCCATCTCTTTCCCAATGAAGTGCATAGATGCTTCATGCCTTTTATGTCATATCAACATTTATCATCACACACCAATTTTAAGATTTAACTACTTAGCATGCTTCACAAGAAATTTCAAAGAAATAACATACTTCCTTCAACAAAATTCTAGCATGGTAAATAAGTAAGACATGGAATTAAATTCATATAAACATGCTATTTCATGTAACACCAATTGAAATACATAGACACATATCTCATTACAACAATATGATCATTTTAAGGAAAACTAACACAATTTAACATGCTCGACAACAAATCAAGTAAGATGATTCACAAAGGAGCAAGAAAAAGTGAATTAGGAACCCCTACCTCCAAAGTTATGAAAATCCCCAAATTTTGTGCCCTAATTTCGAAATCCCTAGAGTTAGCCAAACAAGAAATTGTTTACACCCATGCGTAGATCTCACCGTGTTCTTCGATTTGCCTCAAACGGCATCCAAAAATACCACTTAGTGAGGGAGAAATCAAGGAGTGAAGTTTGTGGGAAAAAGAAAAGGAAAAGAAAAACAGAGAAGGAAAGAGAAGTTGCGTGAGAGAAATGAGAGAAATGGGTCTGTAATGACCCTTTATCATTGCCTAATAAATAGGTGGGTCCCACTAACTAATAATATATATATATATATTCATTAACATTACATTATCTCCAACTTTAAAAGATTTCATCCCCGAAATCAAGCCATACTTGAGGGAGAAAACAATTCTGGATACTTGGAGCGAACCTCATGTTCAAGCTCTCAAGTAGCCTCCTTAACTCCATGATGCCTCGAGAGAACTTTCACCAATGGTATCATCTTGTTCCTCAACACCTTTTGCTATGTGTCAATGATTTGAACTGGTCACTCCTTGTAGGAAACATCCTTATCAATGTCCACATCAACCCAACTCAAAATATGAGATGGATCCGACTCGTACTTCCGTAGCATCGATACATGAAAAACATTATGGACTCTATTCAATTGTGGTGGCAAAGTAAGTCTGTAGGCAACCTCTCCTACTCGGTCCAAGATCTCTAAAGGTCCAATGAATCATGGCGATAACTTGCCACTCTTCCCGAACCTCAACAATCCCTTCCGTGGAGAAATCCGAAGAAAAATGTGGTCTCTCACCTCAAAGGATAGTGGCCGTCTCCGCCTATCCGCATAACTCTTCTGTCGGCTCTGAGCTATAAGCAATCTCTGTCTGATCAGCTTAATCTTCTCAGTAGTCTCAAGTACTATGTCAGGTCCTAAGGCGGCTGTCTCGCCCACCTCAGTGCAATAAACAGGAGACCTACAAGGTCTACCATACAATGCCTCAAATGGGGCCATCTGAATACTCGTCTGATAATTATTATTGTAGGCAAACTCAATAAGCGGAAGGTGATCCTCCCAACTACCTCCCAAATTAAGTACACATTCTCGAAGCATATCCTCCAAGATCTGGATGGCATGCTCCGACTGGCCATCGGACTGTGGATGGAATGCCGTACTAAGATGTAAAGCTGACCCAAACGCTGCTTGAAGTCCTTCCCAGAACTTCGAAGTGAACTTGGCATCCTTATCTGAGACAATGGTTACTGGAACTCCATGCAATTTTACAATCTCCTTCACATACAGTACGCCAAGCTTTTTTGCATCATCTATTGCCTTAATAAGCAAAAAGTGAGCTGTCTTGGTCAATCTGTCAACGATGACCCATACGGCTTCATTGCCCCTCCGTGACCTTGGAAGACCTGTCACAAAATCCACAGCAATATGTTCCTATTTCCACTGCGTTACAGGTAATGGTTGCAACAAACCGACTGGTCTCTGATGCTCGGCCTTCACCTGTTGACAGGTAAGACACTTAGCCACAAACTGTGCAACATCTTTTTTCATTCTGTTCCACCAATACTGACGTTTCAAATTATGATACATTTTAGTACCACCCAGATGAACTGCAAAGCGGGAATTATGAAACTCCCATAAGACGTTCTCACGGAAAACTGTGCAAGCCTCTGTACCGTAGACCTCCATCTGCATGTAAGGTTCAATCTTTCACTGTCTCACCACTGGAGATCAAGGTGTAAGTGGCATCCAAATCCGGATCCTGTCTTTACGACTCAATCACTCGTTTGACAAGAGTAGGCGTAGCAACACAATCCCATCTCTGTTAAGTCTTCAAGCATTTTCCATTTTCGAATAGCCAAATCGGCCAGAGTCCCACGAGATTTCCGGTTTAAAGCATCTGTTACCACATTTGCCTTGCCCGGATGATACTGCAAGTCAAAATTATAATCTTTCAAGAATTCAACCTATCTTCTCTGTCTGTTGTTCAAGTCCTTTCGGTAGAAAAGGTACTTAAGACTTTTATGATCCGAGTACACCTCGAATCTTTCACCATACAAATAATGTCTCCAACACTTTAAGGCAAATACAACTGCCGGTAATTCTAAATCATGAGTAGTGTAGTTAAGGTAGTGAGTCTTCAACTGTCAAGACCCATAAGCCATTATTCTACCATTCTGCATCAACACACATCCCAAACCATCATGTGAAATGTTACAATAAATCACGTAACCCAAGCCACGCTCAAGTATTACTAACACTGGAGCCGTAGTCAACCTTGTCTTCAATTCCTGAAATGATGACTCACAGGCTTCATTCCATGCAAACTTAATCCCTTTCCAGGTCAAACAGGTCATAGGCGCTGCCAAGCGAGAAAAATCCTTCACAAATCTTCGGTAGTAACTCACTAAACCAAGAAAACTGCGGATTCAAACACATTCTTGGGTTGCTCCCAATTTAGAACTGCCTTTATCTTTAATGGATCAACTGATACTCCACCTTCCGAAACAACATGCCCCAAGAACTTCACTTCTTGTAGCCAAAACTCACACTTCTCATATTTGGCATATAATCGGTGCTCCCGTAAAATCTGCAATACAATACTCAAATGGATCTCGTGCTCCTCCCGAGATCGTGAATACACAAGAATGTCATCCACGAAAACTACCACAAACTGGTCCAAGTAATCGTGAAAGACGCGGTTCATCAAGTCCATGAATTCCGCTGGCGCATTAGTCAAGCCAAAAGGCATAACAAGGAACTCATAGTGTCCATACCGTGTACGGAACGTTGTCTTTGGGATATCCTCATCCCTAACCCGTAACTGATAGTAGCCTGACCTCAAGTCAATCTTTGAAAAACAACTGGCTCCTCTCAATTGATCAAACAAATCATCTATCATTGGCAAAGGATACTTGTTCTTGATGGTGGCATGATTCAACTTCCGGTAATCAATACACAACCTCAAAGAACCATCTTTCTTCTTAGCAAACAAGACCGGTGCACCACACGGTGACACACTTGGTCGGATGAAACCTTTCATCCTTAAATTATCAAGCTGCCTCTTCAAGTCTTCCAATTCAACTGGTGCCATACGATACAGTACCATAGAAATTGGCACGGTACCGGGCATCAAATCAATAGTAAACTTCACTTCTCGGTATGGAGGCAACTCTGTCAAATCCTCCAGAAACACATCTAGAAAATCACGAACAACCGCAAGATAGTATTCTTCCACAACATCATCTTCTTCGGTTAGAAGACTAGCCAAGAAGTAATCACCACGACTTCGTCCACGAACTCCATAAAACGATGAAGTATGAGAATCACTCCGATCTCCCACGAAAAAGAAACAGTCTACCT